GGTTTAGGACTGCAGGGGGAAAGCAGTGAACTGCGCATGTGCTGAGCTCATGAGAACTCACTGAGTTCCATGGATTGCACTGGTTCCGCAGGAAAATAATATCAACTGTGTCATCGTATGGGTCAAAATAGGTCTGTGTGGCACTAGAACTAATGTCAAACAGGTTCCAACAAGATCAGTGCCACCAACAACCTAATTATGTAGGACACCTGGTGTCTCTCTAATCCTCGGACCTGCTCCAATCAAAAGTGGGAGAAAGGTTGCAGAGACAACAGTGCAACCTCAGCACCATATCATAGGAGGTAGAGACTGGTGAGCCAGGAGCTGGGGCTGTGGAGACCACGGAGGAAATCTGACATAAGAATCCAGACCTGGAACTTGCTGGAGGTTGTGGCACAATTAGCTGGAAACAAAGAGCTGTGTACCAACTGCAATAAGTATGATTGCATTGTAGACCTGTGGGTGACAGAGCTTAGAAACCTGCCCCAAAGAGAAGAATCTGCTAACCAGAGGTGCAATGACCAAGAGCAAAAGAAGAGACAAAGGCACAATGAATATTAATGAAAACTCCCCTACAAAGGAGCAAAACCCTACACCAACCTCAGAGTTAACTGAGGAAGACATTGAGAAAATGGGTCCTACAGAATTGAGAAAACTCATTTTAAAGCTTCTGATAAAAAATTAGAAGCTCATGCAATAGCTCAAAGAATTTAAGGAAGCAATAAATCAAATCAAGGTTGCTATATCAAAAATTAAGAACACAGTAGAGCAAATTAAAAGTACAATGGAGAGTCTCCAAAATAGAATGAAGCAAGCAGAAGAAAGAATCTGAGAATAGGAAGATATTTCGTGTCATCCGAGGGAATCAAACAAAAGGCTGGAAGCAGAGCTTGATCAGGCCAAAAAAGCATTCAAGAATTGAAAGACACTATTAAGAGGTCAAATATGAGTTATGGGAGCCCAGAAGGTGCAGAAAGAGAAGCTAAGTTTGCAAATGTATTTAATGAAATAATCAAGGAAAACTTCCCTAATCTAGAGAAAGAATTGGGAAACAAGATCCAGGAGGGGCACAAAACTCCCAACAGGCTTGATCAAAAGCGATCCTCACCAAGACACATGATCATCGAGCTCTATTCAATTGAACATAAGGAAAAGATCCTTAAAAGTGCACGTGAAATAAATCAGTTAACATATAAAGGAATGCCAATTAAACTCACAGGAGATCTCTCACAGGAAACTCTACAGGCCAGAAGAGAATGGAGTGACATATTCCAGATTCTAAAAGAAAAAAATTGTCGGCCTAGGATAACATATCCAGCAAAGCTTTTATATGTCTTTGAAAATGAAATAAAATTCTCCCACAGTAAAGAAAAGTTAAAAGAATACACCTCTTCCAAACCTGCCCTACAAATGATACTTCAAGATGTTCTCTTGACAGAGAAGAGGAATAGTACCCAACAAAACCAAAGGCAAATGGGAAGAATATCCCAGTAAAATGACAACAGAAGACTAAACCAATGAACAACCCCTTGCTAAAATGACAGCTCCAAAGTACCATCCATACATATTAAACTCTGAATGTAAATGGCTTAAGCTCAATCAAGCATCATAGATTAGTAGGCTGGACTAAAAAACAAAACCCATCTATTTATTGTCTAGAAGAGACACACTTCACCAACAAAGATCAGCGGAAACTATATTGCATGGATTTTGTTGTTTTCTCTTAGTTTCGTGTCTTCAAAACACTTTCTTCTGATTAAATCATTTAATGACTCATAGATCATACAGTAGCATCATTTTCTTCAAGAAGGGTCTTCATTTTCATTTCTTCAGCTACATGTTAGTCATTTAGTAGCATGTTGTTTAACTTCATGGTGTTGTTAATTTCTTTTTTCTCTCTGATGTTGATTTTGTTTTGTGGCTTTTCATTGAAGGGGATGTATAGTAGCTGTGTAATGGAGACTGTCATATCTAGTAACATGTTATTTAGCTTCATGGCATTGTAAATTTCTATTTTTCTTCCTATTGTTGATTTTGTACTGTGACTTTTCATTTAAGGGGATGTACAGTAGCTTTGAAATGGAGACTAACATATCCAGATGTGAGGATACAATGTAGTATGTGTTTCTACTTCCACACAAAGATGGACTTACAATGAAACTGTTTACTCTATCTTGACAATAGGATGCTGGACTCTCTGCCATTGTCCATGCCCGCAATGATGGACATATGACTGTGTATGAAGAACTATACTTTAGTAATGATATAGAGGAACTAGGTGGGGAGGAGGGAATTGGGGAGGGGATAAGGGAAATCTCAGGAGCCTATGGAATTATAACATAAAATGATAATAATAATAAAATGTAAAAATTAAAAAAAAAAAGAAACTTCATTGGAGGTTATCCCAGACCTGATTCTTATGTGTGCTTGCCAATAAAGAGTCCAGCAGAGTTTATCACCTGAATCAGCTTCTGTATATGCTGGTAGTTGCAATTGCTATGTCAATTCTGTCTCCAGCCCTGTGTTTTACACAAATCAATGGGTGTTGAAGCCCAGCTCACTCCTGCCCACCACACACTTGGTCTTCACTTGCACTAGTGGGAGTTGCGGTATAGACAGAGCAACTCTCAAAAACCCCCACCAGTCCCAGCCCCTGCCCTGGTTCCAATGCTTGCCGGTATGTACAGTAGATTCATCCCCTTCTGTCCCACATCCAATTTAGCGCTCATACATGTCAATAAGCATTGAGGCCTAGTTCAACACAAACAGCCCCACTCTGCAGCCCACACGCTTGCCAGTGAGTGCCATTCTCCGTCTATCCATGCTTGCTCCAGTCCTGGTTCTCATGCTCACCAGTCAGAGGGACAATCCAGGAGGGAGGTCCCCACTGCTTCCCTACTGCGTCCTCTCTGACTCTCAGATCTTGCACTCTCCAGGTGGTTCTGAAGGTTAATTTGACAGAATTAGCCCACAGTGCCAGCATCTGCCAACTGGTATTGTGGCAAAGCCCAACCAGCACACATCCACTCTGACTTATGCATGCACCAGTAGGACAGTCAAACCCAGCTTGGCTTTCCCCTGATCCTGCCCACAACACGAGGCCAACAGGCATTATAACCTTGCCTGGCCTGGTCTGCCCGTATCCCAACTCATGCTCTCCAGTGGGAGTGGTGGTCCAGCTGGGGAGGCCCTCACAGCCCCCTACCAGTTTCACCCACTCCCCCACTGGGTCCCACCTGTGCTGGTTGGATGCTGTGGCCTGGTCTGGCATGGCCTGGTCTGGCATAGCCCGCTCACCTCAGCATTTGCCAGTGAGTGTTGTAGTCTGGCCGGGCTTGGACCACCCTCAATTGTGGCTCACGCTGGTGAGGACTACAGCCTAGTCCAGCCCACCTGGTCCGCAGTCCTGGTCCTCATGCAAACTGGCTTGTGTTATGACCCGACTTGTCCCAACCCACACTCCAGTTGGTGTTTAGATTCACCAGCAGGTTATATGAACTGGCCCAGCCTGGTTCACCCCCGACCTAGAACTTACCATGCTTACGTAATGAGGGTAGGCATCCATTACTGAAATTTCTTGGCCTCTAATATACACTAATCCCTCCTCCTTGATTATTTTAAAATACATGGCAAATCCTTATCATCTTTATAATCCTATCTCTCAATATGCACCTATAAAGTATAAGGTTATTTTTGAAAACTTATGAGATCATTACTAAAAATCAGTGGAATTTCTTTGTATCATCAGATATCTAGTCTAGAATCAGATTTCCTACTTGTTATATACATTTTCCATTGCATTGTAAAAATGTGGATTTGATGTCCAGACACTGCAACTGACAAATATCTTTCAATCTGCAGTATTTCTCTTCAACTTTTGATATTCCTACAAATTTTTGTGAGCAAGACTGTCTTTTTTTTTTAATCATAGCCAGTCCTCTGATTTTTGTATTCTTTGTGTTTTTCTGATTGCATCCATCTTTAGAGTGTAGTGGAATATGTCCTTTTTTCTTCTATGTTTCATGAAAGTTGGTAGTTAGCAGTTTCTTTTTCAGGCTGATTCACAATGAATATTGTATATTTGTATCAGGACACATCTGATTGCCTATCTTTCTGTGATATTCTATGCCATTGCAGGATCATTTGTTCCTACTAGTATTAATGAGCATGACCTGTCATTAATTCTTAAGCATTTATGAAAAGGTGACATAATTCTGCCATCACTTCACTTAGTGGCAGGAATACTTTTTTTTTTTGAAATTTTCTTTAAATTTTATTTTAACTAATACAAGGAGAACAAACTTTGTGTATTCCTTTAGTACAATTTCAGATACACAATCACACTCTTCTAACCCTCCTGCTCCCATCGAATACTACTCTCTTTCTTCCCTAGCAAAAGTTGTTTATAAAGCAAATTACAGTATGTTTTCACTGAGGTACGTGCAGCACTAGAAATGAGTGGAGGCTCTAGCGCATCCTTTCCTCTCACTTACCGATTTTCAGAATAACAAGGTGGCTTCCTTGCACTAACAGAGTGTTTGTTGTTTTCATTGTTGATGCTGTTATGAACTCGCTACCTAAAAAAATTTTTAAACCATACTTATAAGCATCCTATGCCGACTGAGGCTTAAATATCCTATTTTTTGTAATAGGAGTTTGTTTTGCTTGACTCTTGAGTTCTTTTCAACATGAATCTGATAGAATTTGATAGAATTTTTTACTTTTTTTATAATTAAATAGTCTGCCTTGCACATTTGCACATTCACAGGTGGAATCACCTCCCAGTCCTAGCAGCCCTTGCTCCCGCTAGAGAGGATTTGTATTTAGAGATTACAGTTGTAGTGAAAATGGAGTTTCAGGCTGATGGGTTGATCCATTTTTTTTCCAAATTTTTTCTCCGAATAGAGTTGGAAATATAAAAGTATAGGAATATTATGAATTTATTTTCAAATTCATAATTCAGCATTTTCACCTAAACTCATTGATTTTAAAGCTCTTACCTCCTTCCAACCACAAATCCCAGTTGTCACGGGCATTGCATCCTTATTTCTGTATGACCTATAAGCAATAGAAAATACCCATTAACACTATTACTGTGACTACTGAAACAGTAAAAACTTTTTTTTATAGTTATTTTTATCCTTTGAAGGCATTTCACGAGGGATGCAGACTTAAGTCACTGAGTCTTGAAGAAACAAATCCTTGCTGGTTGGTGGGACACCTGCCTTGCACCAGCGCAGGTGGGCTTGTAGGGGCCTGGGAGTGCAGGCTTGCAGGGAGCCTGGGGGATAGCACTGGCAGAGGTATGCAGGGACCTGGAGGCTCATGACCAGATAGGCAGGGTTAGCCTGGGGATTTTCCTACCTGCTTTGTCTCAGGTGGGGTGAGGGGAGTGGAGGGAAGAGACCTAGGTTAGAAGCTGGCATGGGTGTCACTGTGACCGGGCTGCAGTTCCAACTGGTGTGTGTAGTGCAGGGTTGGGCTGGGCTGGTGCATCCATTTGCTTGCATAAGAAATGGGGCTGGGGGCCCGGCACCATGGCCTAGTGGCTAAAGTCCTCGCCTTGAACATGCCGGGATCCTATACAGCCGGCGGTTCTAATCCTAGCAGCTCCACTTCCCATCCAGCTCCCTGCTTGTGGCCTGGGAAAGCAGTCGAGGACAGTCCAAAGTTTTGGGACCCTGCACCCATGTGGGAGACCTGGAAGAGGTTCCTGGTTCCCAGCTTCGGATTGGCGAAGCACCAGCCATTGCGCTCACTTGGGGAGTGAATCATTGGATGGAAGATCTTCCTCTCTGTCTCTCCTCCTCTCTGTATATCTGACTTTGTAATAAAAATAAATAAATCTTTAAAAGAAAAAAAAGGAAATGGGGCTGGAGACAGAACTGACCTAGCAACTATAACCACACCTGTGTGTAGACTGATATGCATGATGGACACCTTGCAACTGCTAGGGTCCCACATTGGCACCTGTTCATGTCCCAGCTGCTCCACTTTCCCTCCAGCTCCCTGCTTTGGGCCTGGGAAAGCAACTGAGAACGGCCCAAAGCCTTGGGACACTTCACCCACATGGGAGACTTGGAAGAGTCTCCTGGCTCCTAGCTTCGGATCAGCTCAGCTCCGGTGATTTTGGCCACTTGCGGAGTGAACCTTCAGATGGAAGATCTCAAAGATATATCTCTCTCTCCTCAAATCTGCATTTCCAATAAAAATAAAATTTAAAAAAAGTATGAAGATGGTTCTAAAGTCACATGTGAAAAATACGTTTTACATATTGCAGACTCAGCTTGACTCAACCCTTGTGCCTTGAACAACTTCCTGCCTTATCAACGTTGTCACAGACGGCTTCCCAAAGGTCTCTTAGCTGTTCACACTTCAGTGCCTCAGTTAGGCATTCTCACTGCCAGCTCCCTAATCCCCCAAGCAGGTTCAATCACTTTTGCTATAGTAGCAAAAAAAAAAAGTTGGAGGGAAAGGCGGAGCTTCATAATTCTGAGTAATGTGCCAAGTTTTTCTCAGAAAAAAAATCTGGTCTATCATTTACTTTAGGGGCCAGAAGACAGTATTATCTCCATCTGATGATTGGAAAGGATGAAGAATTTGTCCAGGAAGAGGAAGTAGAGATACTATTGGGACAAAAGCCCATGTCTTCAAAGGACTTCTAGTTTTTAGAAATGTCCCATTTGTTGTTTCTTTAGTGGTAAAAGCAATGTTTTCAGGTTTACACTGTTCTTCATAGCCGATAAAACAAAACACAGGTGCCTCTGTCAGCCCATCTTTTATTTCACTCTCCCAAGAGAACTAATACTAATAGTCTTGTTACTTGTCTTTCTTTAACTTTCTCCTCACTCAAAAACAGGCATATATTTAGGGTTTTTAGCCCATTTGTTAACTGTAAATGAAACAGAATACCTTCTCTGGATAATTATACATCTATTAACATACCTACAAATCAGTAAATATAGTTGTAAACTTCCCTTTCATTTTCTGTCTATATTCCATTAGTATATATAGAATACTTAACAAAGCCAAATCAAATATGGAATGTTCTTTTCACTAACTTCTGTTTTTCTTTGCTTACATGTTTGTATTTCCATCCATATGATCACCAATACTCCTAACTCACCCTTACAAGCTAACTACACAATTTCCTCCATTTCCTTTTCCATTTCCAAATCACATAAACATAACTGAAAAATGTACACACACATAGGTTTTTTTCACGTGTTCTGCAGAAACAAGATGGATTATTCACACTTCTTTTTGCTGTTTATTTTAATAGACTTGAAAGGCAGAGTGACAGAGAAGGAGGAATCTTCTGCCCCCTGGCTCATTCCCAAATGCTCACAACAGCCTGGGCTGGGTCAGGCCAAAGCCAAGAGCCTGGAATTCCAAATGGATCTTGTACACAGTGACAGAGACCCGAGCCATTCACTGCTGCCTCCCAGCATTAGCAGGAAGCTGGACCAGAAGCTGAGCAGCTGAGAGTCACACTGGCTCCTGCACAAGATACAAGCATCCCACACAGGCTTCACCAGCTCTGCCTGGTTGCCCATCCTTGCACAACCTTTTTTTTTTCTCATGGAAATGTGTCCAAGTCAGCTGTTCTAGCTCCCGCTTATTCTTTTAAGTGGCTGCTACATAATATGCTGCAGCACCACCAAAAATTATTTTCATATTTCTGGATTCATCCATTTCTGCTGTCAGCATAACTGCAATAAATTACTACACTTCATATTCCTGTACTTAGGAGCTTATACTTTGTGTTTCTCCAAATTGAAATTAATGTCTCCATAAAAAGATCTGAAAGCTTCAGATCTTCCAAGAAAGGTTACATAATCCAGCATTGCCATCCCCAGAGCAAGAATTAGGTAGAAAACTTGGTCGCTTTTGCTGAAACAAAGGGAGAAAATGATATGGACTAGATACATAATTTATGAGTTATGTACATGTCTGTATTATTCATCACATCATTAGCTTACCAACAGAATACTGAAATATTTGCAGTATTAATTGGACTTGAATGACTTTGATGTCTTGCTTGCTTTTAGTCACACAAAATAAGTAGCTTTTCATGAGCCTTTCAACTCTGCGCTGCAAGCTCACATTTTTAAGGCAAGAGAGAATAGTTGATTAATCTGCTTGTTTTATAATTGGTGACTTAGAAAAATAACAAAAGCAGGCCTCGATTTGTTCACTTGCAAGCCCTGCTACTTTGTGCTCCAGGCTATGCTCACTGAGTTTTCCCTTGTTGTTGACGCAACACATGGGTGCTTAACGTAGTCTAGAGGTCAGGCAATGATCTAATGTTCTAATGAAGCATCCGTAGAGTGTCCAGGACTAGACTAGGTTCTGAGGGCATTGTGTTTAATGTAATAAAGTCTAATCAGAAGGAGCTCAACTCAGATGTGAAAATGGAGAAACGGAAAGATAACTGAAACTCTGTGTAAGTGCTACACACCTGGCCCAGTGAGCACACAGAGGGGAGGCCCCAGAGACAGGGGCACCTCCAACAGGGGAAGTAATGTTGGGATGAGTTCTGCTGAGAGCTGGATCCCACTGTATTCATAACTGTGTTATAAATACACTATACATACACATATATTTATAGCATGCTATCTACTTATCTATACTTAAACTACATAGCAGAAAATGAGATTAATACAATTTTGATACATAGTAAATGTATTTAACTTTATAATACAATATGAGATATAATTAGGAGCATAGTGAAAAAAAGAAGAAAGTCTGAATTGAAGAAGGGTTTAAGGTGGACTCTAAGCATTCAGTTAACATACTGACAGGGTGTAGAGAAGGATGGGAAAGCTGGGGGATAGGGGAGGGTTAGAACAGAAGCACTCAAGAGTTTAAGGAGATTGATGCTTGTTGATTAAGTGTATGAGAAAATGGAGTCTCTTGGGTGAAAAGCAGAAGATTTCTCAATTCCACTTGCTTCAAGTTCCTTCAGGACTGGGAATGTTGGTTGATATGACACTCAGATATAGCAAGAAGGGAGTATGGATTCTGCCCCAGCTGGCAAAATTCAGACAGAAATAAAAAAATCAACTAGTGGATTAACTTTGGTTGGTTGTTCCAGCCATAGAGGTGATTCACCCCAAAACAGACCCCAGTGGCAGCCAAGCTCACCCTGTGTTACCACATCACTCCTAGCTGTGCAGGGGCAGGTTTTCCAAGGCTCCCTCTGACCACCCAGACTGTGCTGAGATGCTGCACGCACACACATGAAAGAGCATTTGCCTGAGGGTGTTTTTCTGACCCTGCTACCTCAATCCAGAAAGTTCTCCGTCATTGCCCACAGCATCTAACTTTCTCACACCCCCACTGTTTCATGATCTCATCTCTCTAAGACAGCCACCAAGGTTAGCAGGAAAACTCCTGCTCCTTAGTCAAGCTCATGTAACAAGCAAAGAGGAAGCAGAGACACTTTGTCTAGTTTTCCTCATGGGGAAGATGGATTCCAACACCAGTCCTGGCAAGAACTATGCTCCTCCATTCAGCCATTCAAAATGGATCGACTTCACAAGGCCACCACCAGTCTAGCAGAGTTATTCAGCATCAAGTAACGTGATCAAGTCATCTCAAATGGCTCAGAAGAAAGTCATCTCAGAAAGCCAGGTCATGGGCCCCAAAGAAAAAATGCAAACCATTAATTAGGTTTTCCTTAATTACACAGAGGAACCCTCCACGTTCTGGCTTTACTTGCATGCACTTTCTTCTGTTTGTATTTGCAAGCATCATGAACCTTGAACAGTTTCCAAGCAAATCTGCAAAGGATAACCTAGGGCAGGAGTGAGGGTCCTAACCTGAGAACTGGGAGGTTGGGTCACCCTTCACACCTGCCACCAACTCACTTTGCACTTGTGTCAGGTAGCGCACACCTCTGAGACTCAGCTTCCTTTTGCATAAAATGAAGGAGCTATCCAGTCATACCTCTATCCTATTAGCCTTTTCATGGCCAGTCTGTTCCATCAGGCCAGAGCTAAGCTGTGACTTTTTCATTGTGACATTGACAGTTGCCAACTATGCAGTGGTTCAAG